ACTTCCAAGAAGGATTCAGTGTAGTTCTCATCTAATAGGGGTGCTAGTTTGAAAAAAGTGTTAAGGCATAGAATGCCAACCACTTCACAATGTACTCTGTGTATTTCTTATGGACGTGGCAGGTTTTCTGTAGGAAAATGAGGGAGGTTAGAGTGGAGTGATGAGCTGGGGCAACAGAGTGGAATGCCTTGACCGTTAGAAGAGCATGGCTTAAAAGAGGCTGGTGGGGAGCAGAGGGCTGCTTAGAGCTGAGTTTTTAAGAATGTTAATCTGGGGCCCTGCTGCTGCTAAGTCGCTTCAGTTGTGTCTGACCCTGTGCGACCCCATAGATGGCAGCCCACCAGGGGCCCTGGAGAGAGCTAATTGGAGTCTAGGAGCAGTGAAGAACCTATTTAAGATGCACAGGTAAGAAGTAGCAAGAGCTTGCTCCAATGGTGGCAAAAGACTTAATGGGGAAAGGCATAAGGGAGAGAAAAACTCATGAGGGGTTTGATGAAAGGCAGCTGGATGAAGGGGAGAAGAGAGATAACTGTAATGGGCTTTGTCATTAACACAAATAGGACATGAGTGGCTTGGGGGAGGAAAATGATGAATTTTTCCATGGATATTGTACCAGTTGGGCTTCCCAGGTGGCATTAATGGTAAAGAACCTGCCTGCCAATGCTACAGATTGAAGAGGCTCAGGTTCGATCTCTGGGTCAGGAAGATCCCCTGGAGGAGGGCATGGCAACCCACTCCAGTATTCCTGCCTGGAGAATCCCATGGACAGAGGAGCCTGGAGGGCTGTCGTCCATAGGGTCGCAAAGAGTTGGACATGACTAACGATTTAGCATGCATGCGTGTATTGTACCATTAGCTAGTGCCCTATAACAAATTGTCGTCAAGTTTAGCAACTTAAAACGACAAACATCTCACGTGGTTTCTGAGAGGAATCCAGAAGCAGCTTAGCTAGGATATTGTCCAGGGCTGCAGTCACCTGACTGTTAGACTGGGCTTTAGTTCCTTACTGGCTGTTGGCAAGAGGCCACTGTAGGGCTACTTGGGTGTCCTCACAATCTGGCAGGTCGCTTTCCCGCAGAATGAGTTATCCAAGAGAGCAAGCCAGAGGCTGCACTGCCTTTTACATCCTACTCATGGAAGTGCATGCCATCCATTCTGCCATAACTTATTCTAGAAGGGCGTCACTAAATGTAGCCCATACTCAAAGGGGAGGTTAGGCACCATCTTTTGAAGGGAAGAGTGTTGAGGACTATGGATATTTTTTTAAAACCACCACAGATACATTGTTTTGATGACAAATGAAGTGAGCATTCAAAGGAAAATGTCAGGAAGAAGGAATTGGGAGCTTTAGAGAGCCAAGCTGCCTGCATATGGAGGTAGGTGCCAGCTGGAGCTGAAAATACTGAAAATGGAGAACTTCTCTAGGCAAATTTCTTAATGATCTCTCTCCACCAGTCTCATTTTTTTTATTTTATTTCATTTTATTTTTTATTAGTTGGAGGCTAATTACTTTACAATATTGTAGTGGGTTTTGTCATACATTGACATGAATCAGCCATGGATTTACATGTGTTCCCCATCCCAATCCCCCCTCCCACCTCAGTCTCATTATTAAAGGTCATTGTTCCCTTCCCCAAATTATATTATTCCAGATATTTTAACTTTTTTCTTAAAGTTTCCATTTTTAATTTCTTGTATTATTTTGTTTTTTCTCCAAGCTTCTTATCATGAAAAATCTGTTATAGAAAAGTTGAAAGACTAGTATAATGTTCATATATTCACTATCTGGAATCAGTAATTATCAGCATTTTGATTTATTTGCCCGCTTTATCTATCTATCCATCCGTCTGAATATTTTTCTGAACTACTTATTGAGTGACATACTTTGGTAAAGAGTTTCCCCCTCTATCTTGGGATAAACTACAGGTCCTCTTAAGAAGGCAGAGTACAGGTTTCTTTTCTCCTAATTACTAATTATCAGAGTGAGGACCTGATGTAACAGTCACTTGCAATGGTAGCAGATGATTTTATTTGAACATCAGTATGGACTCATAGTCCAAAGCATATGTAATTTTGCTATTTATTGCCAAATATCCATGGAAGTTGTGCCATTTTGTATTCTCACCAACAGTGTAGAAGCCAGTCCATGTTTTTTTTTCCATAACCTTGCCAAGAGAGTCTGTTGTAAAACATTTGAGTTTTTGGCAAACATCAGCGAGAAATGGTATTTTGGTACAGTTTAATTTGTATCTGTTTATTGAACAAAGTTGAACATCTTTTTATGTGTTTTAAGAGCCATTTGCCTTCCTTTTTATGTGTTCTTTTTGTGTTTTTTGCCTGTTTTTCTAATGAAGTTTGGGGGTTTTTTAATCTTAATTTAAGAGCTCTCTCTATATACCAGAGACATTAACCCTTTGTTTCTAATATGAGTTAGGAGTATTTTTTTCCAATTAGTCATTAACGTTTTGAGTATGGTGTTTTTAAAAATTAATTTTTAGTGGAATATAGTTGATTTACAAGGTTGTGTTAGTTTCTGCTATACAGCAAGTGGATCAGTTATAAAAATACACCTTTTCTCTTTTTAAAAATTCTATTCCCATATAAATCAGTATGGAGTATGGAGTCGAGTTCCCAGTGTTATACAGCAGGTTCTTATTGTTACCTGTTTTATATATAGTAATGTGTATATGTCGGTCCCTCTCCCAATTTATCCTTCCCCCTTGATAACCATAAGTTTTCTACATCATTCACTCTATTTCTGTTTTGTAAATAGATTTCTTTGTACCTTTTTTAGATTCCACATATATGTGATATCGTATGCAAAAATATGAAATGCTTCAAAATTTGCATGTCATGCATGCACAGGAGCCATGCAAATCTCTGTATTATTCCAGTTTTTAGTATATATACTGCCAAAGTGAGCACTGACTTACGCTGATTTTATGATATGCAGATATTTACTTTCATGAGTTTATGTACTTTTATGCACATCTTTTAGTTGCATCTGGATTTTGAGTCATAGTTAAGGTTTCCCCTACACCTGTATTACAAGGGGATTTATCTACGCTTCCTTCTAGTACCTGTGCAGCCCTCTCTTCCTCCCCCCATTCCTGCTTACTCCCTCTCCCTCCCGCCTCCCTCTCCTTTCTCTTTCCAATTCTCTCTTAACATTTGGAGTTTATTCTGGCATACATTTCTTTTTCCAATGATTATTCTGTATTTGAATGTTTTTGTAGTGATTTGAGATATCACCTTTATCATATGACAAATTTCCAAAAACTTTTGACTTTTAAATTTGCTGTTTTGGGATTTTCTATTCTGTTGCATAGCAGTGTGTCCAGTCAGGAGAGAAACTACATAGTAGGTTCAACAGGAGGAGTCTAATATAAGAATTACCAACTGTGATGGGAGATTAAAAGTGTAAGAAGTAAGAGACTCTATAAGGCACCCAAGAGCCGAGGTAGAGTACCCATGGAAGAGCAAACTTTGGGGAGTGGGCGTGTTCGGACCTCCTTGGAAAAGATGGTTTGGCCACTGAAATGTTCACTGGTTTACCCAGACAAAAGTGGTCTGGAGTTGCAGGTGGGGAGCAGGCAATCAGCATCTGGTGGTGTGGGCGTGCCCTGGAAATCCAGTTGCCCGCCAGAGCGGATGGCCTTCAGAGCATGCAGGTGCTGGTGATGAAGCTTGCACAGGGAACAACTTCTCTCACTCCTCAGGCCATAGGCTGGACAGGGCATTGCAGAAAGGTTCTTGCCGTGCCAGGGCTACAGCTTTGCAATGGGATCTCGTTCTGGACTAACACAGGCTCCACTGGCTGTTCTCACCCACGGTGTCAGCCTCTGCCCCTGCCAGAAATCACAGCAGCCTCTTCCACCTGCAGTCCCTGCAGTGCCCTCTACGAGAATTCTTAGCACTGGGCTCAGTTTAAATACTTGAAGGAATTCCGTTGCCATAGAACATATATTGGGTATATTGAAGAGTGCATTAGAAGGTGAGAGGCAGTAAATTGATCATTGACAGGTGCACTGGCATATGTATTCCTTTTTTATCATTGGCTATTCATAATATGTTTGAAGATCTGTTAATGCTTGTCATGCTTACTGATCTATCCTTTGAGGTAGGTTTTTTTTTAAATTTTTCTGTAAGAATTTAAAAATGAATTTCTCTACTTCTATGGGAAAAAAAACTGGTTGGCATTTTTATTTAATCCTATATTTTTTAAGTTTGTTTTTTTTTCCCGCAGAGATTGAACCCAGGCCACAGCACTGAGAGCCCAAAGTCCTAACCACTAGGCTACCAGGGAACTCCCTGTGTTTTTTAAAAGTATTTTATATTAAATTCTCATGGTAGAAAATTCTTATAGTGAACAACAAAAGTTTTATGGAAGTGAATGAAGAAGAAAATGAATGCCATGCCTTTTGTGTGTGTGTTGACTTTATTTTTTCATTTATTTTTATTAGTTGGAGGCTAATTACTTTACATCATTGCAGTGGTTCTTGTCATACATTGACATGAATCAGCCATGGATTTACGTGTATTCCCCATCCCAATCCCCCCTCCCACCTCCCTCTCCACCTGATCCCTCTGGGTCTTCCCAGTGCACCAGGCCCGAGCACTTGTCTCATGCAATTTCCTCAGTGTGTATGCCCAGAAGTGGGATTGCTGGGCCATGTGGCAGTTCTAGTTCCAGTTTTTTAAGAAATTTCCACACTGTTCTCCATAGCGGTTGTACTAGTTTGCATTCCCACCAACAGTGTAAGAGGGTTCCCTTTTCTCCACACCCACTCCAGAATTTATTGCCTGTAGAACTTTTGGATAGCAGCCATCCTGACTGAATGCCATGCCTTTTATTCCTGCCCCTCTGAGGTTGTGTGTATATTTTTCAGGATGTATTTCTAGGTCCATATAAGTATGTATGTATAATAAAAATGTGTCAGCCTTTTTCACAGTATGCTTGTACCTGTAACTTAGAAATGTCTTTTCTTTTTTCTTTACAGCCATACCTGTCCATGACTCTGAGAACATTATAATGTCCTTTTGTGCCTCTTTTCACAAGGGGTTTCCCTAGCTGTTACCTACTCAAGACATGGATGTCAAAAACTCACCATCTAGCCTTAACTCTCCTGTCTCCTACAACTGCGGTCAGTCCATCCTACCCCTGGAGCCAGGCCCCATATATTTACCTTCCTCCTATGTAGAGAGCCGCCATGAATACTCAGCCATGACATTCTATAGCCCTGCTGTGATGAATTACAGTATTCCCAATAACTCGGAAGATGGGCCTGGTCGACAGACCACAAGCCCAAATGTATTGTGGCCAACTCCTGGACACCTCTCTCCTTTAGCCATCCATTGCCAGTCGTCACTTCTGTATGCAGAACCTCAAAAGAGTCCTTGGTGTGAAACCAGATCATTAGAACACACCTTACCTGTGAACAGGTAAATCCAGTCTTCATTCTGAATTATATTATGGCCGATATTCAGATTGCTTTATGATTTAGTGAGAAGAAAGATATGTGTTATGCAAGGTCTTCATCATCACATAGAGCACCTAAAACATCTGATGTTCTGAATTCTAGGATATCTATTCTGCTATTCTAGTCCTTACTAAAAAGTTGAGCGTTTAGATCTGTGTTGTGGGGTAGAATTCATGTCATGACTGTCTTTGGAAAATATTTAACTTAAATCACTTTCTTCTTGATGAAGTGATTTGAGTTTGAAAAAGGAATTTTTACTTTCAAGTTAGATCCATCCTATCTTGAAGTGAAATCACAACTTAGTGTTCATGACAAATTATGTCCAAGATAAAAGTAACCATCGGTATTACAACTTGATGAAATACTAGGCAGGTGAAAAGACAAACATTGGTACAAATTTTTAAACAGTGAACTAAATAACATTTTATAAAGATTGACAGGGAACTAAATGTGGACTTATTTGAACATTCTTAAACTCTAAGTGCAAGGTAACATAATGGATTATTTGCATTCAATTTGTTACACACATACACGTATATATTTTGTGCTATGTGGCCTGTGGGATCCTACTTCCCCAATCAGGGATTGAATTTGGATAGTTTTAATGATAATCATGGTTATGGAGGGCAGAGGTGGTATGGGGGGAGCATGACGGGGCATAACTTTACAGAACAACCCAAGTACTAAGTTATAGCATATTTGATATTGAAATTTATTACTTTCAAATATCATAAAACTTTGAGAAAGCCATATTACACACTATTTTTCTTCTTTTTTAAAGAACTTTTTGATTGGTAAAAGAGAATATGAAAAATGTAGATAACTTTTTAAAAATAATGTCTTCTCATTCAACTTTTAAAGGAAGAAATATCTTATTTCTGAGAACAAGTTCTAATCAGAGTTCTGCTAATATTTGGGTACATTAAACCACAGCATATTAAATGTATAAATCAATTACCTCTACCATGTCCTTTCCAAAGGAAACATGCTGTAGCAAAATTAGGAGCTAGCCCGGTGTGTCCTTGTGGATTCTCCCTCCCTCTGTGGTAAGCCCTGGCCCTCTCTCCACCCTGCACTGAACACCTGCTTTCTTCAGAGCCGTCTCAAGGGACAGTCATGTGTTTACGCTCTCCCCCTCTCTCCTCTTCTCCTTCGCTCTCCCCTTTTCCCTGCTGTTTCCACCCAGACTTGATGTGGTCACTGATTACAGAGATGTACACCCTGATGGCTGCAGCTAGTTCTCCGTGGTAACCGGCGTTCATCCACACTGTGTGGATGGGTGTAAACTCACCTATCCACTTTCAGACACCAGCCATCCCGACCGGGCGACTCTTAATAGATTTGATATCAGTAACAAAGGTTTTGCTTGATCACACCTCTTGGAATATATTTATTATGAAGCCTGGAGGGCAAAGAGATACATGAGGCAGTGTTCATGCTGTTCCTTTTTCTAGAAAGGCCTTGTTTTACCGTCAGTGTTCTTTTACAGTGAATGTTCTCTTTGCCCCTAGGGAGACATTAAAAAGGAAGTCTAGTGGGAGCAGTTGTGCCAGCCCTGTTACTAGTCCAAGTTCAAAGAGGGATGCCCACTTCTGTGCTGTCTGCAGCGATTATGCATCAGGATATCACTATGGAGTCTGGTCCTGTGAAGGATGTAAGGCCTTTTTTAAAAGAAGCATTCAAGGTACAAGAGTGTTGTTAGCTGCTTTTTTTGTTTTCCACTTTGCTTTTAAACAACTTTGCAGATGACCTGGTAGAAATTTCACTTTTGTTTGGCCTGTTTGGTACAGAGTACTTGATGAGTGGTTCAGAGGATCATGTGTCTCTGGGGGTGGTGGGGCATTGTTTCAAGTATAGAGTACTTTATCTTTCACACAGATCTCTACCCCCAAACCCAAATGGATCTTGCACCACCATCACCCATTGCCGTCTTCCTAGGAGAAAACATCTTATAACCTTTGTGAAGGTTGGAAAAGATGTGTGCCCATTAGGAACTGCGAAGATTGTTTCTTCCTTTGACTTATGTTTAATCTCTAGCATACGTAACTGTTAAGGTGGCGGGCTGGCTCCTCAGGAAGAGAGAATGTGTTTTATGCAGTCAGTAGCTCAACTAGTGGAACCTCCTTCACAATCCCGTTTTCTGGTCTGAGTTTAGACTGTGTCCCTTCCCTTCTCCAAATTTCTGCTAGGCTGGCTTTTAGTTTCTGTGATTTTGTTAAATCATCTCTTTAATCAGTTTCAAATTGTACGCACCTGGTTTCAAGGCCAGTCAGCCCCTTGCCAGTCCTAATTTGCTGCAGGCACTTTCTTGCTTGCTGGTGCTCTCAGCTGTCTCTCTGCCCTATGACCCCTCCCTCATCAGCCCTCCTTGCAGGTGGTGTCCTGGGTTCCCATCTCAGAGCTCACTTCCCTTTTCTGCCTAAGCCTTGTTCTTAACCCGTTAAGGAAAGCTACCTTAAAGCAATTCATAGTGTGCAAGTTGCAAACAGCAATTTATTGAGTAAATTCACCCAATGAAACTCTAGGTTGAGAGCATTTTACCTCAAGCAGAGAAGCTGATGTAATCTAGAGGGAGATGAGGGGTAGAATTTTAGTAGATAAGGAATCACCTTCCTCTGAGTCCCTGGGAAATTCACCCTTCATAGACGAGCACTTCTTTGTCCTCAACCCTCCACTTAGTAGCTCTGTGACTTGATGTCCTGGCCTGGTTCCTCATCTGTGAAATGGAGGTAGTTATTCAAAAACTGAAATGAGGTTAGTTATGTGAAAATATTTGGTCAATTATAAACACTGCAAGAGTAGAACTACTTGCAAATTCAAGTTATTCTAACTTGTCTTTTAATTCTTTTGTTTTCAAATGTCAGCGTCTTTTCTTGCTGCCTCTGTTGTTTCTCTCCTAATCCTAACCTCATTTAAACCCATCTCCTCTAAAATCTTCATAGTTAGGTGGATGAGGGCCTCTGCCATTTCCAAGCTCCTTTGCTTGTCAAAAGGAAAAACAACACAGATAGAGGAACCTGATGTCATCAAATATCATCAAAACATAAATCATGTTTGGCTATTTTTTCTTTTATATACACAGAACTTTTCTGCATTTAACATTTTCAGTGCTTAAATTTTTTTTTTTTTTTATCATTGTACTAGTAGATTATCAGGCCAGGTCCAGTTTCTTGTGATACATGAGAACAATTTAGATTTTCTGAAATTCAGAAGCAAACTCTTGATATGATGACAATTCTCTACTTTGTTGAAGTTCTAGAACTTTATATTCTAAAGGAAGTTTTGATCCAAAACAACTAACTACATCCTTAAAAGAAAGACTTTTTCTTATTTGCTCTTTGGGAAAAATCTCTGCATGGACTATATTTCATGAACCCTGAGACTGCAGCTGATAACAATAAGTTTACTATGCTTTCTCCACATCATTCCTTCCTAATGCATCAGCAAAGGAGCTGTTAGGAAAGGGAAAAGGCATGTCTTATCCTAAAAGTGCAATTGGTAATGTTAGTGCTTTTACAACTGCTTAATGATGAACTGATTATTTCTCTGGACTCTGCCTATTTTTGCTGCCCTCTGGTATAAATGCATTGCAGTAAGTCAAAACAGCTACTCAATTTTTTTGGTATGTTGAATGGAATGAGAATCAAATATATTTTCATAAATTGAAAAAGAATAAAACAGATTCTTTTGGGCTTCCCTGGTGGCTCAGCTGGTAAGGAATCCGCCTGTGATGTGGGAGACCTGGGTTCGAGCCCTGGGTTGGGTAGATCCCCTGGAGAAGGGAATAGCCACCCATACCTGTATTCTGGCCTGGAGAATTCCGTAGACTGTATAGTCCATGGGGTCACAGAGAGTTGGTCATGACTGAGCAACTTTCACTTCACTTCACTTTGTTTTATTAAATAAATACATTTTCATTGATTTAAAAAATATAGGACCTTATTTTCTTGTTGTTTGAGATATAATTTACATACAACAAAATTCCTCTATTTTAATTTTATAGTTTCTTGGGATATTTTTGGCCAAGCCGTGAGGCATGTGGGATCCTAGTTCCCCACCAGAAATTGAACCCACGCTTCCTGCAGTGGAAGAGTGGAGTCTTAACCACTGGACCACCAGGGAAGCCACAAATTTTAGTTTTATGAATTTTGAAAATATATGTAGTCATGAAACCAACACAGTAATTAAGATATGGAACATTGCTATAACCTCAAAATATTCCTTCATACCCATTGCAGCCAATTTCACCCAAGCTACCCAGGCTCTGGTGACCCTTGATCTATTTTCTGTCCTTATAATTTTGCCTTTTCTAGAATGTCATATAATTGCACCTTAAAGTTTGTAAACATTTGCATATGGTTTCTTTCACTTGTCATGATGCTTTTAAGATTTATCTGTGTTGTTGGATGTATTAGTAGTTCATTCCATTTTGTTACTAATATTCCAGTAAGTGTACCCCATTTTGTTTATTTGTTCTTTTTTTTTGGTCACATTGCAAGGTTTGTGGGATCTTAGTTCTCCTACCAGGGAGAGAACTCTGGAATGGAAGTGTGGAGTCCTAACCACTGAACCAGCAGGGAATTACATGTTTATTTGTTCATTTGAATTGTTTCTACTTTTATGCTATTTTGAATAAAACTGCTGTGAACATTTATGCTATGAACATTTATATCTCTCTGTTTAGACATATCTTTTTTGTTTCTTTTGGGTAAATGCTTATGAGTAAAATTGCTACTTGTATGATAAGCTCCATATGTGCAGTGCTAGGGGTAAAGAATCTGCCTATCAATGCAGGAAACATAAGAGATGTGAGTTCAACCCCTGCATCAGGAAGATCACCTGCAGGAGGGATTGGCAACCCACTGCAAAATTCTTGCCTGGAGAATCCCATGGACAGAGGAGCCTGGTGGGCTACAGTTCATGCAGTCGCAAAGAGTCAGATATGGGTAGCCATTCCCTTCTCCAGGGGATCTTCCACCCACGGATCGAACTCAGATATTCTGCATTGCAGGCTGATTCTTTACTGTCTGAGCCACAAGGGAAGCCCACACATTCATATGCATTCATTTATTCAAAAACTGTAATTGAGTACTTTGTATGGATTCAGTTCAGTCACTCAGTCGTGTTTGACTCTTTGTGACCCCATGGACTACAGCAAGCCAGGCCTCCCTGTAAAGCTTTATATCTTAAAGAATTAGTTTCATGATTTACCTTTAATTTTGCTTCGCATCTTTCTTAGTTCTGTTCATATAAAGTAGTGTGCTTCTCAGACTGTTGCACGGAGCAAGAAAACCATTTTAATACATGCAGTGTTTGGTGCGGTTCAAGGAGGACTTTTTTCTTTTTGCCAGAAATGAATTACTGTGACCTTCTTGCACAAGGCATTCTCTAGGCTATTGTCTTCATATTATTGTGTTTTCCAATCCTTTTTTAAGAAATTGAAATGCTTTTTTACAACAAACTCTGAGACCAACCTCTCAATTNTATCTGAGGTTGTTGATATTTATCCCAGCAATCTTGATTCCAGCTTGTGCTTCCGCCATTCCAGCGTTTCTCATGATGTACTTTGCATATAAGTTAAATAAGCAGGGTGACAATATACAGCCTTGATATACTCCTTTTCCTATTTGGAACCAGTCAGTTGGTCCATGTCCAGTTCTAACTGTTGCTTCCTGACCTGCATACAGGTTTCTCAAGAGGCAGGTCTGGTGGTCTGGTATTCCCATCTCCTTCAGAATTTTCCATAGTTTATTGTGATCCACACAGTCAAAGGCTTTGGCATAGTCAGTAAAACAGAAATAGATGTTTTTGGAACCCTCTTGTTTTTTTGATCCAGCGGATGTTGACAATTTGATCTCTGGTTCCTCTGCCTTTTCTAGGGCCTGGGGCAGCTCCTCTTGGCCGTGCCTGTGTGCCGTCGCAGCCACTGAGACCAACCTCTAGTCGTTTCTTGAATGCTTATTGTTGTAAACCTCATTGTAAAATCAGTGAGGATAACATCATGTACAGTTCTTTGAGGCTTTAGAAGATATGTAAAGATTGCTCCTGTTACGAGAAGTACTGTGGGATTACCTTCTAACTATAAAGCATTATATTCGAAACTACAATAGAAAGTCTCTGATTAGAGATATATTTTGGTTTTTAAAATTTATTTCTGAATATAAGTGAGGATAAAACCAGTAACAAGATAATTATCTGTCCCTTAAAATGTTTTATGGTGGTGGTGGTGGTTTAGTCGCTGTTGTGTCCTCCTCTTGCGACCCCATGGACTGTAGCCCGCCAGGCTTCTCTGTCCATGGGATTTTCCAGGCAAGAACACTGGAGTGGGTTGCCATTTCCTTCTCCAGAGGATCTTCCTGACTAGTCGTTTCTTGAATGCTTATTGTTGTAAACCTCATTGTAAAATCAGTGAGGATAACATCATGTACAGTTCTTTGAGGCTTTAGAAGATATGTAAAGATTGCTCCTGTTACGAGAAGTACTGTGGAATTACCTTCTAACTATAACTATTATATTCGAAACTACAATAGAAAGTCTCTGATTAGAAATATATTTTGGTTTTTAAAATTTATTTCTGAATATAAGTGAGGATAAAACCAATAACAAGATAATTATCTGTCCCTTAAAATGCTTTATGGTGGTGGTGGTGGTTTAGTCGCTGTTGTGTCCTCCTCTTGCGACCCCATGGACTGCAGCCCGCCAGGCTTCTCTGTCCATGGGATTTTCCAGGCAAGAGCCCTGGAGTGGGTTGCCATTTCCTTCTCCAGAGGATCTTCCTGACCCAAGAATCAAACCCAGGTCTCCTGTATTGCAGGCAGATTCTTTACCAACTGAGCTATGAAGGAATTTCCATAAACATAAAACATAAATTAAAATGTTTTATAGCACATCTTATATTACCCCCTATTCTTTAGTGTGTATAGAACCTGTATATATGATGAATGACTGTGTTAGTTAGGTTACATTGTATGGCACATGGTGATGGGATCGCCTCTTGTGATTATGCTGTGGTTATCCACAGCATGTGTAAGACTCCATCATAGCAGCCTGGGGAGGGGAGTGGAGTTAGAGATGCACTCCTCCTACCCTGGAAGAAAGCAGGCATCTTATTGTCAAGTGCTTCTGGGCAAGTGCCGCTAGGAGCAGTGTCCAGACTATAACTAAGCAAGAAAATGGGGACCTCAGTCCTATAACTGCAAGGAATTAATTCTGTCAACAACTTGAATGAGCTTGGAAGAGGACCCTGAACCTCAAACGAGGCCACAGCCCCGTCAACACATTGATTGCGGCTTTGTTGGGACTCTGAGTAAATTTTTCCTTGAACTCTCTATTCATGGGAACTATGAGATAATAAATTTGTTTTATTTTAGGCTTTTAAAGGAATTTATTATGCAAAACGAAAAACTAAAGCAGTAACTTTAAGATTATTGAACTGAGCTTAAGTGTTTTCATTTGTAATATCGGGATCATAGCTCTTTATAGGGAAGTTATATGAGTAAATGAGGTGCTCATGAAAAGAACCTGGGAATCAGTAGGAGGTCAGAAATGTTGATGTGTCAGGCTAAGAAGACATTGCTTCCTGTAGATGGCCAGGATGGAAAGTCGCTTGAGAGAGTGGTTTTTGCATCTCTCGGGTGCCTTTGCTGGTACCCAAGCCAACTCAGGGCATGGCTGGCAAGTCATAAACAACTGAAGTTCAGTGTGTGTATTGTTGAACAAATGTTACTGGAATCTGGAATCTACCTGAAAGGACAGAGGATTATAAAATTTCATTATGTTTCAATCATGGAACTATGTCTTTTTGAAGTGGTCTTTAAAATCTGGTGATTATCAAGTGGCACTTCTTTCTTTCTTTCTTTGCTGATTTTTATATTCTCTTATTGACCAGTTTAGTTCTCTTAGTTAGATATGAATTCCAACTGAAATGTCATGTTAAATCCCAAAGAAAAATGTATGTAAAAGAGTACAAGGAGTTTAGTTTGGTGACCTGACACCAAGTACTGCTCTTGAGGAGTTTTGTGACTTGGAGCAAATCAATTTCAGGTGACTGTGTCACTTTCCATGTCCAAAGAAGAGTATTTCTAAATGTATCTCTTGAGAATTCTAAGAACGTGCAGAGAATAACCTATTGGTCAAGATGTAGGATATCAAAATATTCCTAGACTTCCTTTACTCACTAATGAGGCACTGATGAGGCGGCACTTCGTTTTTACACCTGTTCCTGTAGCTAGAAGGTGTTTTCCTATCTCTCAGCTGGGTGGCATTAGCTGCGTTGTTGACCAGAAAAGAGAATTATCCCAAATATTGCAACAATAAACTTCCTTTTTTTTTTTTGTTTTGTTGTAGGACACAATGATTATATTTGTCCAGCTACAAATCAGTGTACCATAGATAAGAACCGACGTAAAAGCTGTCAGGCCTGTCGACTTCGGAAGTGTTATGAGGTCGGAATGGTGAAGTGTGGTGAGTGTTCCCTTCCACTTCTGTGGTCCGTGGGACATGCCGAGAGCCAGGTCAAACGGGACAGTTTGAGGACCTGAAGACGTGGAGTCTGGGTGAGAGGAGATTTAGGACGTAGTAATTATCTTCAAGTGTTTGTATGCTGTCCCATGGCAGGGGCGTTGACTTGTTCTCTGTAACTGTGGAGGACAGGGCTGGGGTGAACAGGAACATGTTGCAGGAGGCAGATTTTGGCCCAGCATGAAGAAGAACTTTCTACAGGTCAAATGGTCTGATACCGGAATAGGCTGCTGCATGAATTATTGAACTCTAGCCACTGAAGTGCTCAGATGGGCTGGGTGACCATCTGCCTGGGGCCTTGAAAAGTCCCAGGATGAAGTTCTGGTACATGTTCACAGTTCAAGCTGTGACAAGAAGGTAGACGACATTGTGGGTTACTTGGGATGACTCATGCCTGTCCTTCCATTAACTTTCTAGAAGTGGGAAAAATATATATGCAGGAGTCAGAAACATGACAGACCTATGGAAAGCACATAGAGCATGAATTTTGTTCTAAGACGGTATGTGTGCATATATATGTGTATACACACATGTATACATGCATGAAAAGACAAAGGGAAATGGGAACACTGGTGTAACAACTGACAATGATGCTTACAGTCTGCTTCCTCCACCCAGCTAACTCAATTCACTTGTCTGTACACATTTGCTTGTTTATATACACTCATGTCAACTCTGCCTAAACTTTTCTTATTCTTCTGCCTGCCAGTATTTTAGCAGTAGTTTGGTGTAATTTTTCTCTTGGTAAGTATTTGAAAAAAAAAATTTTTAAGTCCTCTCTTTTCTGATAACCTCTTAGTAGCTCTGCCTTCAAACATTCTCTGTCTCCTCCTCTAGTTCAGAATTACAGCAGAAGTTCTTTTAATTTAATCAGTTCTCTGGCTTCCTAAAATCACTGATGTTCTCCATTTCCTCTGTAAAATGTCCTGCCAATGACCTTCCAGTGGGTATTGGTTGCTTTCATAAACGCCACTCCAGTTATATCCTTATCAGTAACCACTAGCTTCTTCCCAACCTGCTTCTACTCACTTTAATTGTTAAATCATATAATTTAAAATTTATGCAAACATATGAAATATGAGTAGGAAAAGATAGTTCTGTGAAAGCTTTGAGTAAAATGTGAAGGACTAACAGCTATTGGGTTAGGTATGGGTAAGATTAGGGCAAAATCATCATAAACCAAGAAAGAGTCTGCATTCAGATTGCTTTATGAGTGTCTAAGTTCTTGCTCTGTTTTAAGAAAGCTGAAACTGAAAATCGAGAGACTGTAACTTGTGATTTAAATTGGCAGAAGTGTTTAAAGAGAAATCTCTTGGCCTTCTAATTAAAGACTGCAAATAAATATATCATGTTTTAAGCAAAACAGTATTTTAAATTGCATATTTTAAAGAAATGATTTCTAATCTTAGGAAAAGAATGTTTTCAATGTGCTAGGATCTGTTAGTGGCTGTGGTTCTCTTGGTTTGGAACCAGGGCAGTAGCACATACACTCCACCTGTAGGGGGCAGTATATGTGGTGAGAGGAACAGGAGGACTGAATCCCTGCATTGATGGAATCTCATTTTTTTGGTCTCATCACTTCTTGCTGTAACAGTGCTTAAATGACCTAACCTCGATTTCCTTATCCCTGAAGCAGAGATATCTGCCTCACTGAGTTTTGTGAGGAATAAAGACCTAGCACGGTGTGTGGCGTTGAATATTACTTTCCCTTTCTTTCTCTCCCTCTTTTGTTGAAAAACACATTTAAGTTAGGAGTACCAGAGTTCAGGGATATACCTAAAATTTTCCTGGAAAAGGTCAACTGAATTTGACCAAATAGTCACTGGATAGAGCTAAGAAAAAGATTTACATTATCTTTGGAGATTACAGAAGAAATGAGATGGGTTGATGTGCAAACAGATGGGTATTTTGGCTCTTTACTGACTACGAGGAAAGATCATTAGGAGTGAATTTCCTTAACTGTGCTTTTCTCCTTTTTCAGCCCTCTTGACTGCCCTCCTGAGAAAATCCTTCATCTAGATTCTTCCTTCTATCTAATCTCAGGGGATTAGGGAATCTCCCTGTATTCTGGATCTTCCTGTGTAATTCCACTTCCCCCTTTTATTCAGAAATCCTTTCCCTTCAGTCAGCACCTTTTTCTTCTTCATTTCCAATCTTGTCCTTTCCGCTGAGGTATTAATAAGGTTGTTTAAGTGGTAGAAGGATACCCACCCAGGCTAGCTTCAGAGGAAAAGCTTCATTATAAGAATACACTGCAATGCAAATAGCCAGCAAACTGATCTGAATAACTGTATATCTGATCTGTAGCCCTGTGTCGGGACAAAAGTTCAGCATCTTTCAATGCCATCTCTGTATTTGCCTGCTGTATAGATACTTGAAAGTGATTCGTTGGAGAGGTGATATAAAATAGTAGTTAAAAACACCAGCTCTGGATTCAGACCACTGATTGGGTTTCAGTCCTGCTTCTGCTATTTTCTAGCTTTTCTACCTTGGGCAAGTTACTTGAGCTGTTGTGCCTGGATCCTCTCCCCTGTGTGTTGAAGATAGTAACACGACCTGTCCTCTCAGGCAGTTGTCAGAAAGGGATAATCTATGTACAGTAATACATAGAAGCACATAGAAGCTTCCAGTCTGTGATAACTGCTATGATCATTATTTACCTATTGTTGTTGTCCTGTTTTTGCTGGGGCACTTTCCAATATGGAGTGCTCCTATCTGATAATTTCTCATTAAGCTCCTCAGAGGCACGCCAAGTGACTCTGCCTAGATTACAGTGTCAAAGCCGCACCCTGGGAATGCCCTTGGTACAGAAATGTGAGTTCTTTGTCAATGGCTTTATTTTTTTGACCTTCTCAATTTCATTTTATTCCAGTGTATAGAATACAACTTGATTTACCATAGGAGCTCTATCAATAGATTCTAAGGGCTTTATTTTATTGATCCTAACTTAGAACAGGGTCCAGTACATGAAACTTTGTTGGGAAAATTTGGTCAAATAAATTTGAATGTTGGTATTCAATACCTTTCACTTTGTATGGAGTCTGTTTTGTAAACTCCTTATCCTCATATTCTCCACAAAAGAGAAATGTGTGATTAGAAAGATACTTTCTTTTTTTTTTTGAAAGATACTTTCTTAAGCAATACATTTTATCACATTTTACCCCAGAAGTATAATTTATCTTTAATAATAATAACAACATAATATTATATGTAAATAATAATAGCTCTTTATGTGATTACTAATAAAATGAATTATATTCTAGGCTTTTAATTCTTTTCTTGAATATTTTGTTTGATTCAGTTATCCCTAAATGAAAAGAGCCCTTCTTTCTACTGTAATTAGCCAAGGATAAGAGAAATTCAGATAGATTTTCTTGGAAGTAAATAAATTTGCTCATACCACCTAACTCATTTCCTTTTATAAATGTGGACAATTTAGTGAACAAAGGCAATGGTGGGAGTATAGAAAGTAGGCATCCTGATTTTAAGTTTTAGATTTTTTTATAGGGCAAATTTATATAAATGTTGTGCCCATGCTAATGACATCCTGATTTGTGTCTTTTTAATTTCCATTTTAGGGAGGTGGGAGGGGGGGATCAGGATGGGGAATACATGTAAATCCATGGCTGATTCATGCCAATGTATGACAAAAACCACTACAATATTGTAAAGTAAATAGCCTCCAACTAATAAAAATAAATGGAAAAAAAAATAAATTCCATTTTACATTTTCTACATTTTACATTTAAACAATGGATATTTAGAAATATTTTGCCTATGTATATATATATAGGGCTTCGGGAATTATATTTTTGTTACTGACTTCTATTTTTATTTTATTGTAATCAGAGAATATGATCTATATAATAGCAGTTTTAGTTAAAGTTGACCTAGTATGTAATAATTTTTGCAAATTGTTTTGATGTATATGAGTTTAGAATTATTTATCTTTCTTTTACAATCTACTTATGAGACCTTACTAATGATTTTTATCTTAAAGTTTGTCAGATATTGACAGTAACTCCAATTTATTTGGTTAACCTTTGCCAAATCTTTTTCTGCTCTTTTGCTTCCAGTTTTTCTGTATGTTAGATGTATCCCTTAGTAAAGTTTGTCAGATACTGACAGTAACTCCAATTTATTTGGTTAACCTTTGCCAAATCTTTTTCTGCTCTTTTGCTTCCAGTTTTTCTGTATGTTAGATGTATCCCTTAGTAACCAGCCTATGTTGTTGTTCAGTTGCTCGGTCATGTCAGACTCTTTGTGACCCCATGGACTGCAGCAAGCCAGGCTTCCCTGTTCTTCGCCGTCTCCCAGAGGTTGCTCAAACTCACATCCATTGAGTCACTGATGCCATCCATCCATCTCATCCTCTTTTATCCACTTCTCCTCCTACCTTCAATCTTTCCCAGCATTAGGGTGTTTTCTAATGAGTTGGCTCTTGGCATTAGGTGGCCAAAATATTGGAGTAATCTTTAGTACATGCCTCACAGGCACCAGAAATAAAAGTCAGACTCCTGTTCTAAGACAGATTCTGTGAATATACTTGGGTTTTACAGTGATTTCTGTTTTCATCCTGGTGACTGGGGGAACCAGATGCTGTGTTGGGGAAGAGACTGGAAAAGCACTGTATTATCTGCTCTCTTTTAGGCTCCCGGAGAGAAAGGTGTGGGTACCGCATAGTGCGAAGGCAGAGAAATTCTGATGAGCAGCTGCACTGCCTGAGCAAAACCAAGAGGAATGGTGGACCCATGACCCGAGTGAAGGAGCTGCTGCTGAGTGCCCTGAGCCCAGAGCAGCTGGTGCTCACGCTCCTGGAGGCCGAGCCGCCCCACGTGCTCGTGAGCCGCCCCAGCGTGCCCTTCACTGAGGCCTCCATGATGATGTCCCTGACCAAGCTGGCCGACAAGGAACTGGTACATATGATCAGCTGGGCCAAGAAGATTCCGGGTAGGGCCTTCTGAGTCTTAGCTTTAAATTGATGTGTAGAAAGGCCTGCTTCTCACATTTATGGGGCACGAATACTGAATGGAGGTCCGCAAGCTGTGTCTTGAGTATTTAGTGGTTTGACAGCTTGATTTATATGCTTTAAATGGAATACATCCTTTCTTCTTATCTTGACACTTGTGCCTTCAACACAGGTGGCCAGGTTTCATTTCAGAATTCCTGAATTCCTCCGTTCTGTACCAGACATGGCAGTGCAGAAGGAGTTGTATGTGGTGGGCCCCTTCTCCTCCTGTCTCTCTTCGTGTCCGCCCCTGTCCCCTGCTCCATTGATCCCACACTACCTCGCACACACCGAATCCTGCCTGTTCACATCTACAGACATTGGCTGGTTTGGCTATATCTCATGCCTAGATATGTTCTGGGGAGATAGACCCAGGGAAGAGACCCACCCATGCTCTGGATGTGGGTGTGGGGCCATTTAGGCAGGGAATTTTAAGGTCCTGGGACCTGGAGCATGGTCTAAAAGAAAGGAGTCTGGGCTCCACCTTAACCCATTTCTTGGCTGTGGACCCATCACCTTGGGAGGAGGGGTGTGGTCAGGTGGGGGGTGGGGTGGGGCACAGTATGACCTTTCACAGTATGAAAGTGAAAGGTAGGAATAGTAAAATTTTGTTCCAATAAAGAAAAAAATCAGTAGTACATATATAAATGAACAAAATGGATAGAGTAAATCAGCTATAAAAGTAACATGAATAATCAATAAACCTGGAATGCTTTTTAACTTGATAAAATTAAAAATGGGTTTGGTTATTCCTGAATTGTCATTTAAAACATGCATTTTTTTATTCTATAGTGTGTTCATTTTACCAGACCAGTTAGTAACATATACACCCAAGGTACTGCATGGTCACCATCTAGCTGTCATTTGAACTGGTATTTCCATGAAGGAATGAATCAAGGATTCTAACATAGATTGACAACAACCCATGCTTCCTCTGGAAGGGCTTCTCCATGTACCTCTTTTCATTTGTCTAAGAAATGAGGTCTCCAAGTTCTAAGTCACTAGGGATGACTCCCATGGCCTCGAGGGCAGCAACTGCATTAGGCACATTTTAAAGATTGAGGGAGCTGGGGGAAGAGCACCTGGGTCTAAGGGTCTTAGATAATAGGATCCATAGGGGTCATTTGTTGGCTTCTGAGCTTTCTGAGAATTTTCAGGTTTTCCACTTCAGTTTTGATGGTTTCGCATCTTCTTTGCCAGAATGATGTTTGTTTGTTTGTTTTCTGAGCTCTTTCCCAAAGGAGGAGAGACTGGTGCAGTTTCCTCTAACTTTTGTTCTACGTGTATGCCAAACCTAGTTTTCAAGACCCCACGTGGAGAGTGGTGATTAATTACTTCTGAGAGCTGTGTAGCTTCTTTGTGCCAAAGCAAAATGGATCTCTTAAGCTGCATCAGTCCCTCGTCAAGCCCGGTGTTTTGGAAAATTTTCTGAAAGCTTAGGCATAGTCTGAAGTTGTGGGATTTTTTTCTCCCACTTTCTCAGCTAGCATAGTCATTGTCTAGACCAAAAAAAAAGAAATTTAGTCTATCACCTAGCTTTGGTTTTGTTGAAGATCTATAAGTATAAAAAGCTTGATCTCCCTTGGGCAGGCTTATTGTCTGTAACTGTGGGTGAGGTTGGAATGTGTACACTCAGGAATGTGAACCGAGTGTGGAGGATGTGGCTTTGGAAAGGATTTATCCATCTTTCCATTCAGTTCTCCTTTGTTCAGATTTCTGTTATAATTGTTTAAAGAGTTGAACCACATGTGTTCTCTGTGCCATAGTTTCCTCATCTGTGAAATGAGGATGATGAGAGATCTCACCTCTAGGAAATCCTCAGAGGTAGGCATTGTTGCCCCCATTTTTCCTGTAAGATAAACAAAGACTTAAAAGAAAATTAAGTAACTAGCTGGGATGAGGCTGAGCAGGGGTACTAACCAAAGTCCTTTGCACTCCAAGGTCATTTATTTGTTGACTGTATTTATTTTATATGGCTTCCTCCTGTTATCATGACTTATGGAGGAAGCACCAGTGATCTCTGCTTCTGAAGTTCTCCCTTAGGCACCTGTTTCTGTTGTTATGTGTGTTCTTCAGCATAGAACAGCCCAGAGACAAGTGCACCTACTCAGAAGAATGATTCTAATACTAGATGGGAAATGGTAAGCAACTGGAGAAACTTTCAGCTGGAACTTTGACTTTCTGCAGGAGCTGGTCCTGTTTTCTCTGCAAGTCTCCCACCCATCACCCCCACTATCCTGTCCCCCTACTCCTCCTGCCCCCATCATGGGTTGGGCCAGACAGGCTGCCCCTCTGGCTGGCGTCTGAACTCTATCTTTCTCAGTAGTGCAGAGGGATTACTGGGATGTAACTAACAAAGGTCAGTGCTAGCTTTCTCTTCTTCCCTAGCATCTTTCTGGGAGCTGTATAAGCCCAGCTAATAGTCCTTTGGAAATTCTGAATGATGTACATTTCTCTGTAGAAGGGGTTTGAGACTAGAAATTGTGAGTTACTTTGAATTTAGGACTTTCTTCCTCGTCAGCTATTAACCACATCTTTAAAATATTGATTTCCCCTGCCTTCTGGGTGATTTGTGTTTTCTTAGCTTTTTAAAACTTGCTCTTCTTTTTTTTTTTTTTATGGAATCAGGGAGCTGAGGAGGAGGGCGGGTATGCTCACAGACTCTTGCTTTCCCCAGGCTTCGTGGAGCTCAGCCTGTACGACCAAGTGCGGCTCTTGGAGAGCTGCTGGTTGGAGGTGCTCATGGTGGGGCTGATGTGGCGCTCCATCGACCACCCTGGCAAGCTCATCTTTGCTCCAGACCTCGTTCTGGACAGGTGAGACACAAATTCCTTGTATTTCTTCTCCAATTTGAGTGAAGTGCCAAGTGAAGTGGGAGCAGAGTCCTGAGTTCTGCAATGAAAACCTCACTCCTGAAAGGGCAGGTAGGAGGAGGAGAAGGTCGTGAGCTCCTTCACTGGGTCAAGAACCTGAGAAGCAGAGCACGAGTGCAACGATTCAGTGTCCTGTGACTCATTCTTACCTGCGATGCAGCAGCATTCAATGGCCAGACCATGCAAGGGCCCGTGTGTGGCACTCAGAGTGAAGGTCGCCTTAGGTTTTTCTACATTACAAAAAATCCATTTTTGGGTTTTAATTTTTAAGCTGTCCTGCTGTTCTTTCCACTAGTAGGGGCCATTTACATCTCCAGCTATCTGGGCAGGTGGTAAAATTCTTATAAATCTACCAAGTTTATTTTTACATGCTTTAACTCACTCTAACTACACATACTATATAGCATTTTGGGCAAAGCAGTGGAAGGAATGGTTATTAAAACCAGATGAAAGTTGATGGAAACTGGGGAATGATAGTGTTAATGCTATAATTTCTTGCATTTAGTTTTCTTTTGAAGATGGCGTGGAAAAGAAACCACTTTTTAATTGACTTAGTGAACTGTACATGGAGGGAAAGCTGGAATGTACAGCAACACTGAAGCTTTTTAGTAGGAAAAGTAGAACACTTTCTTGGTGTTGTATTTGAACAGTTTGAGAATCTCCATGGAAATATGGTAAAATTCTTATAAATCTACCAAGTTTATTTTTACATGCTTTAACTCACTCTAACTACACATACTATATAGCATTTTGGGCAAAGCAGTGGAAGGAACGGTTATTAAAACCCGATGAAAGTTGATGGAAACTGGAGAATGATAGTGTTAATGCTATAATTTCTTGCATTTAGTTTTCTTTTGAAGATGTTGTGGAAAAGAAACCACTTTTTAATTGACTTAGTGAACTGTACATGGAGGGAAAGCTGGAATGTACAGCAACACTGAAGCTTTTTAGTAGGAAAAGTAGAACACTTTCTTGGTGTTGTATTTGAACAGTTTGAGAATCTCCATGGAAATTGATTCTTGTCTTCCTTGTATTGAAACAGTGCTAGTGTTGAGTGTTCAGTCACTATTGGACCCTAAGCCTGGAGGGAAAGGATGCCTACGGCTGTGAATAGAAAGGATCTGCCCCCAGCTCTTGGCACTACCTCTTTAGATCCTCAGAAGCTCCCCATGCACACCTTACTCAGATGGAAAGTAATAGCCAGGGTGTTAGCACCTATTCCTCCTGTTGTCGGGGATGATGGCATTGACAAAGGGCACTATTCTAAGTGACGGAGGTGTTTTGGTGGAGAGCAGGGCCTTTGGGAGGAGCTGGAGCATGGACTGTGGCTCTAGCAGGAGCAAGCCCAGAGGGAGATTCTGGAAGCCCAGACCCTTCAGTAGCAATCAAAATAGCTAACTTACTGGCCTGTATGTGCCAGGCACCATCTTAAGCACTAATGTCTTAGGTCATTACATACACAGTAGCCCTTTTTGGCTGAGCACCATTCTTATCCCTTTTCTTCAGCTATGGAAGTGGGAGGTTAGGTACATTGCCTGCAGCTACGGTGATGGAGCTGGACACAGGGACTGGCTGTGAAGTTCACCCTCTTAACCAACAACAGTACATGCCTCTCAGCAGGATAGAGAGCTGGATGAGGAAAGAGGAGGAGGCCGAAGGCAAAGCAACTTTCTGCTTTATTCTTTTATCTTAGAACAACTCTATTTTACTCTCTGGCCATTTCAGGAAACTTATTCCTCCAGCTGTCATTTCAGGGTACCATGTTGCAAGGCAGGCTGAAAGGCCAAGCACCCAGTCATACCATCACTGTCATTCATTCCTGCATTCAATGTGTTCCACTTGGAATTTAGATGAAGGTGCACACACACACACACACACTTATATGAATATACACACATAATTCCCTAGAAGTTAGTGTTAGGAAGAAGTTCTATCCTTTGGTGAACTAATACATTTGCAAACTTTGGGACTGCGTTTGCTTTTTTGTGTTGATTTCTAAAGTGTTGCCACACTTAGTGTTTATTTTCAGTGACTGTTTCATTCCTGGTTTTTAGTACAACAAACTTGCCTCTTTGTATGGGTTCAACTCCTATATGTACATAGGCTACTGTAAATTGACACAAATCCCAGATAAATTTTAGGCCTACCTGCTGGTTAAGTAATAGAAGAAAAAGAAGTAATTTTTCTTATATATTTATTTTAATTAGGCTCACATTAGAAGAGAAGAATTATAGACATTGTGTATATTTGAGTGTAGAAGAGGAATTCTTGGGAATTGTAAATGCATTCACATTGAACAGGCATTTTTCTTTGTCTACTAGCGGTTATTTTTTGTTGCAGTCCCTACTTGTTTTGAGCACTCTGTAAAGCCTAGAATTTCAAGCCTCAGATTTTTAGTGCATCTGTTATATATACAGTATAAATATATTTTAGTGTAATGGGTATATATCTGGAGGAGTTGCTTATTCAAGCATGTTGAAAAAATTTTGACAATTCCAAAAGTCAAATTATTTACCATAAAGGAGTTCTAATGGGAGTCTTTTCTGTAATGTGAATAAAACTTTTTCACACTATTGTCCTGTCAGAGTTCCTTTATGTAGTAGTATGACCAATTAAGCAGTGAATACTGAATAATAAATTAGCCTCTTTGTTTGTGGAGACTGAGACTGTAATTTCTGTTTCCCTTTATTCTTGTTGAGGCTTCTGCAGCGAAAAAACTTGAGCCTACTGAAGATGAGAGGAAAATCCAGGTATCTCAGCTTATTTCTAACAAGGTAGCTATTTAGGTAATCACTGGAATCCCAATTCACATGAAGATCTACCAGAGAATTTGAACTTCTACTTATTCGAAAAATCATATATGCTAAGACATTATGTGTCCTTAACATCAGTAGAAAACTGTCAACTGTTATTAAAAAGTCAGAGGAGGTAGATGTTTATGGAGTTCTGTGGACTGACAAGTGTAAATGTGCTGAGTTTTCATTCATGTTACATATTTTTATACTGAATTTTCTTCAAGAGACCCACAGAATTTTCACTTCTAAATTTTCATTTCCCCTTGTACTCAGACCATTTCACCTTAGTTGCATAGTAAAGTCCTTCCCATGTGTCTCCCAGCCCCATTGTCCCTCATAGGGAGACAAGTGTGGTCCATTAGCCACATGTGTGCTGTCAGTACAAAGCAGTAAACCCCAAAGGGAAGCCTACTCTTGCAAGATGTCCTTGGTATCAAATGGAGTATTTTCCTTTTGTGAAAGGTGGTTATCAATAATATTCTGCTTGAAATTACTGCTATTATTTTTATTTAGCATTGGTTTATGGGTAAATAGGCTTCCCTGGTAGCTCAGCTGGTAAGGAATCTGCCTGCAATGCAGGAGACCCTGATTCAATTCATGGGTCAGGAAGACCCCCTGGAGAAGGGATAGGCTACCCACTCTAGTGTTCTTGTTCTTCCCTGGTGGCTCAGGTGGGTTCGATCCCTGGGTTGGGAAGATCCCCTGGAGAAAGGAACGGCTACCCACTCCAGTATTCTGGCCTGGAGAATTCCATGGACTATATACTCCATGGGGTCGCAAGTGACCCTCATGGGGACACGAGTGAGTGACTTTCACTTTTTCACTTTCACTGTGTATAAATGGGATGTAAAAGTAAATTTCCATGAGTAGTTTTGTTTGATATTTTAATATTTTAATATCCAACTCATATACCTACTAGATTGACAACTCATATACCCAGTTGGTTGAATTCAAATCTTTTAAACCTGCCCTAATATCTTACTCATAAATCAGTGTCAATCCATAGTTACTTACAGGATAAATGAAATAGGTCTTGTTGATATTTCCTCACTGTTCTATATAATTCATCTTAAAGCAGAACTTTAGTTAGGGTGTTCTTTATAAAGTAACGGCTTCCCTGATAGCACAGTTGGTAAAGAATCTGCCTGCAATGCAGGAGACCCCGGTTCCATTCTTGGGTCAGGAAGATCTGCTGGAGAAGGGAAAGGCTACCCACTCCAGCATTCTAGCCTGGAGAATTCCATGGACTGTATAGTCCATGGGGCTGCAAAGAGTCGGACATGACTGAGGGACTGTCACTTTATACAGTATTTTACCTTATTGCCTCTATGTTTGTCATATTTCTTTTCTAAAAATTTGTTTGGTTTCTACAGTATGTGAAGTGAATAAAAACATTCTAACCTTGCCCAACCCTCACCACCCAAATGAAATGGTTGGCTATCACACTTGCTGGAGAAAACAATCAGACCTAGTTCTTTACAATGGGTTTAGAAATTCTCTTTTTCCGTGAGGTACATATGTTCTGATTTTTGTGAGTTGCAGCATTCATCAGGGCTTAAGATACCATGTAATATAAGTTCTCCCTCCATTTTTGAAATATGAATTTACACTTAAAATACTATGTATTTTAATGAGGAAACTGGTAATTTCAGTATTTAGGGATGTGTTCTTAGGCTTAGGTGACAGCGTCTGCAAAATAGGATTAATTTCAAAGGAGTCCTCTTATACTACTTGGGGAAGTGGATGTATGCGTGTGTGCGCATGTGTGCGCATGACTTCTCTGAGTCTCACAAAAGAGTAAAGAGCCAAACTACTAAACTGTCAGTGCAGGACTTGTTGGACTTTTTGTTTTTGGCCCCAGAGATATTTTAAAACTAACTTTTCTCAGTATCAAATGTCCTTAAACTCATCAATTACAATTCCCAGTAACTCATTATCCTAGGCAGAATGATTTGGTGATTGGCTTGAGGGGCATTCAGTGACTAAGTATTCCTTGTGTCTCTGCTGTGTTCAGGGCATGCATGTCCTTACTGGACAGTTGCAGCAGGCTGCCTGGGAAAGGCCAGAGCAGGGCAGGTGGGTGGGTGGCATGTGGAGGGCTGGGGTTTCCTATAGGTTTTGGCACCTTTGGCTCTGATTCTCCAAAGTGGCCTTTCCCTTAGAAGTGGTTTCTAAGGAGCATGATACTTTATCATTTACACTGTACACTTTCAGAAATTCTAGACTGGTTGTTGAAGATACCATGCTTGTTTGCCAAAGTGTGCAGTTTGCATACTTGTAACTTTGTACAGTGAGTTTGCAGGAATGTGAATGCTGTGGCCTGCAGGATACTGGTGAGCGACCATCGTAGCACCAAACAGGAAAGATTTTACCAGGACTGGTGGTACCCACTGGTGTCAGTGCACTGGACTCTCCAGAGGCCCTTTTCCCAAACACCACCATCACCGGAAATGTCCTGGGTTGGGATTGGAGGAAGGAGGAGGGACTAGCCAGTTCTTTGAAGATCTCAGGTCCCCTTCAGGGGCTGCTCCAGAGATTGAAAATGAAATTTTCATGATTTCACTTTTACCACAGCTGTCCTTTGCTGTGTACTGCAGGCTTTTAGAAGCAAATGAAACTTTCATGACAAAATCATCATAACTGTTTGCTTGTCAAGGACTTACAATAGCTCTATGACTGATGATAATGCACGGTTTGGGGGGGGGCAGTGAGGTGGAATAATATGTGTCTGGCTGGAGTGAATTGAAGCTGGTATTTTCTTGATGCAGTTGAAGTAATTTACTTCAAAAGTACGCTTATACAGTTCATTTCCATAAGGAGTACTCAAAAGAATTTTGATTATATGGTCCAATGTTTGTCTAAAGCTTTTGCTTAAAAATAATCTTTGGCAAGTCAAAATTACCACGTCTCCATTTCTACCTTCCTTTCCTGATTCTGATCTATCTTCTATAATTTTGATTTCTTTGTGTGTCATAGTAGCTTTTTTTTCAAACTACATTTAAATGTCTGTTCATTGCCCCACCAGTTTCTAACTGACTACCAGGATGTGAGAGTTAAGCTCTAGATATAAAGTGTTATTTCTTTTTGGAATATTTGCTTCTGTAATATTCAGTCTTTTCTCATTAATACTTTAGAGTCTTCTGATGAGAACATGAACTGTCTCTTTTTAGTAAAATATGTCATATTTTGAGGGTTGGCTGAAATAGTTTAGATCAAAAATAATAAACAGAAATGGTATTCCTTTAAGAAAACATTTGGTAAACAGGTAGAAGGAAAATGTACTTCCAGTGCACACTATTGCCTAAATAGTATTTATTCAAATATTTGGTTCAGGGACTTACAGGAAATGCCCTGTCTTCCTTATATAAAAATTATTCTGGTAATTTCATATTTCTGGGTGTGCTCTCATTACTACCTTGTTATAGTTAAAGGGTGTAACAGATGAAATTTGAGATTAAAAAGAAAATGCTCCTTACTTTTGATGGTTACCTGAAGCTATGTGTTTCTTACATTTCCAAATGGACTTTTGTAGGGATGAAGGGAAATGTGTTGAAGGAATTCTGGAAATCTTTGACATGCTTCTGGCAACAACTTCAAGGTTTCGTGAGTTAAAACTCCAACACAAAGAATATCTCTGTGTCAAGGCCATGATCCTCCTTAACTCCAGTAAGTAACCACACAGCTGGGCCATGTTTCATGGGGGAGAGATGCTGTTTCTAGAGTCGGCATGGTGTTGAGGAGTACAGAATTTCTTATTTTATTTAAAAAGGGGAAAATGGCTTTCTTTCTGACTTCTCTGTTTCATTTATAGGGATTTAAACTGTACTTAACTTTTGGTAATTTGAATATAAATTATTCATTAGGTGAATTACTGGTGGTAATTTAAAAAGTGGCTCAAGCCACTCCACTGGAAAAGGAAAAAAATGGACTTTAAAACATTTACCTTGCATCGTTTTGTGTTTTTTTGACATTCTAATTTATTTTATTGTGGTGTAACTGACATATTGGACTTCCCAGGTGACTCAGTGGCAAAGAATCTGCCTGCCAATGCGGGAGATGCAGGAGACTCAGGTTTGATCCATGGGTCAAGAAGATCCCCTGGAGTAGGAAATGGCAACTCCAATATTTTTTTTTTTAAGATGCTTCAGTATTCTTGCCTCGGAAATTCCTTGGACAGAGGAGCCTGGTGGGCTGCAGTCCCTGGGGTCACAAAGAGTCAGACAGAACTTAGTGACTGAGCACCCACACAATTGACATAACATGGTATTATTTAACACGTACAACATAAATGATTTGAATTTGCGTAATTGAGAGATGATCACATTGTGTGTATGTCAATTCCAATCTCTCAATTTATCCCCCTCCCCCCATAAGTTTGTTTTCTACATCTGTGACTCTATTTCTGTTTTGAATTAATAAGTAAGTTCATTTGTATCATTTTTTAAGATTTCACATATAAGCAATATAATATTTGTCTTTCTCTAGCTTACTTAGTATGATAATCTGTAGGTCCATCCATGTTGTTGTAAATGGTGTTATTTCATTCTTTTTAATGGCTGAGTAATATTCTGTTGTATATATGGACCACTTCTTCTTCATCCAGTCATCTGTAGGTGGACATGTAGGTTGTTTCCATGTCTTGACTACTGTAAATAGTGCTGCAATGAACAATGGGGTTGCATGTGTCTGTTTGAATTACGGTTTTCTCCAGATATATGCCCAGGAATGGAATTACAGGATCATATGGTAGTTCTATTTTTATATTTTAATGAACCTCTGTACTGTTCTCCAGTACAGATGCTATACCAATTTATATTTGCAGCAACAGTGTAGGAGAGTTTCCTTTTCTCCACACTATCTCCAGCATTTATTACTTGTAGACTTTTTGATGATGGCCTTTCTGACTAGTGTGAGGTGATACTTCATTGTAGTTTTGATTTGGATTTCTCCAATAATTTGTGGTGTTGAGCATCTTTTCATGTACTTTCTGGCCATCTGTATGTCTTCTTTGGAGAAATATCTGTTTATATCTTCTGTTCATTTTTCAGTTGGGCTGTTTGTTTTTCTTTGATATTGAGCTTCATGAGCTGCTTGTATATCTTGGAGATTAATCCCTTGTTGGCTGCTTCATTTACAAATATTTTCTCCCAATCTGTGGGTTGTCTTTTTGTTTATGGTTTCCTTTGATGTGCAGAAGCTTTTAGGTTTAATTAAACCCAAATTAAATTTAAATAAACAAATTTAATTTATTTTTGCTTTTACTTTCATTACTCTAGGAGGTGAGTCAAAAAAGATATTGCTGGGATTTATGTCAGAGTGTTCTGCTTAGGGCTTCCCAGGTGGCGCTAGTGGTAAAGAACCTGCCTGCAATTCAGGAGACATAAGAGATGCAGGTTTGATCCCTGTGTCGGGAAGATCCCCTGGAGAAAGGCATGCCAATCCACATCAGTATTCTTGCCTGGAGAGTCCCATGAACAGAGGAGCCTGGTGGGCTGCAATCCATAGGTCACAAAGAGTCAGACATGACTTAGCATGAATGCATGTGTTCTGCTTATGTTTTCCTCTAAGAGTTTTATAGTGTCCAGCCTTGCATTTAGGTCTTTGATCCATTTCAAATTTATTTTTGTGTATGGTGTTAGAAAGTGTCCTCATTTCATTTTTTTACATGTAGCTGTCCAGTTATTGAAGATACTATCTTTTCTCCATTGTATTTTCTTGCCTCCTTTGTCATAGAGTAGTTGACCATAAGTCCCTGAGTTTATTTCTGGGCTTTCTATCTTGTTTCATTGATCTACATTTCTGTTTTTGTGTCAATACCATACTATTTGATTACTGTGGCTTTGTAGTATAGTTTGAGGTCAAGGCATCTGATTCCTCTAGCTTTGTTTTGCTTTCTCAGGATTTCTTTGGTTATTCAGGGTGTTTTGTGTTTCTGTATAAATTTTAGAATTTTTTTGTTCCAGTTCTGTGAAAAATGTCATTGGTAATTTGATAGGGATTGCCTTGGATCATTTTGACAGTATTGGTTCTTAAGATACAAAAATCCTTCTATATGGGTAGTTGTGCCATGCTTAGTTGCTCAGTTGTGTCCGACTCTTTGCGACCCTGTGGACTGTAGCTCGCCAGGCTCTTCTGTCCATGCGGATTCTCCAGGAAAGAATATTGGAATGGGTTGCCATGCCCTCCTCCAGGGGATCTTCCCAACCCAGGCTTAGAACCCAGGCCTCCTGCATTGCAAGCGGATTCTTTACCATCTGAGCCACCAGGGAAGCCCATGAATACTGGAGGGGGTAGCCTATCCCTTCTCCAGGGCATCTTCCTGACCTAGGTATCAAACTGGGGTCTCCTGCATTGCAGACAAATTCCCTGCAGCTGAGCTACCAGGCAGTCTCTATGGATAGTTACTTTCATAAAATAAAAAAATTTTTGAAAAGTACTAAGCCCTAGTATTTTATTGTTACATTCAGCTAATTTAAAGTTACTCTGTCAGTTGCTATAAGAGTTTCCAAATGCTTACCCTCAATTTTTACTTCTCTCTGTGTGTACTGGTAACAGGTCATACTTTGAGTAACTCAAGTAATGAGCAGGAAGTATTGTCTGGGAGATAACTGGATCCTGGTATAGGGACAGGGTGAGGGGAGGAAGTTAGGTCTTGAAGGAGGGGAGAGGGGGAATGAAGAAGAAATTTGAAGGTCATGTGAAGCTCAGAGACCCTGAAGGCAACTTTGGGTACTTCCTTTGTTGGGTCTCAATCTGGCCTTACTTATAAGACAAGACATTTCCCCTGCACCCAATGCACTCTCTACACCATATCTAGAAAACAAACATTTGTGAGTAGAAATAGTAAATCACTGGACAAGTGAAAATTGTAGGGGAAGTCAAGAAGACTGCTAAGTGTTCTGGGGCTTTTATCACCTTCTCGACATTGAGGACACAGCTTACATCAGCGATTAAGTTGATGTGCATATAGGTAATGACCAAGTGGGACATTTGAAACTGCTTGCGGAAGGAAATCAGCTTTTTCAGATCTTGTCTTTGAGTCTACCTACCTACATTATCTCAAATGTTTGCTGCTGTTTGTCTCTGTTAAAGGGAAGATTTCCCTGGAAAGTTCATTTGTACCTTGGCACAAGAGGATCATCAAATGCCAAATTATGGGATTTCTCTCGCTTGCAGAAATAACTTAGGACTCTTGTCTGTGTAGCAGAGTGCTCCTTGGAAAGCAGTTGCTTCTTGTTAGAACACTTTGATGTGTAAAGGCTTCTGTTTGGCGAGGCTCCTTACAGACAATTTAGCCTCTGAGACATCATATTGTGTTGTTAGGAAGCTAGAAGCATCATCTGTGCAGGGAAAGATTAAGGCTGCGGTGTTCCTCCTGCAGCATCTCATGGAGCTGCCATATGGAGGGAATTACAGAGGGTAAGGCAGGCATGTGATGTAATTATCACTCATGGTGGTAAATGGGTAGAATTTGTTTACAGTAAACCCAATTTTAAGAAATCTTCTTTTAAAAAGTTTTTTTGGCCTGGTGGTCAAAACAGTTGTCAAAGTGAATATATATATATATAATATATATTATATATATATATATATATTTTAGTTGTGCCACATGGCATGTGGGATCTTTGTTCCCTGACCAGGGATCAAACCTGTGTCCCCTGCAGGGGAAGCACAGAGTCTAACCTCTGGATCATCAGGGAAGTCCCAAAAGTGAATTTATTCTGTTCAGCATTACTGTTCAGAAAATGGGGTTCTCATTCTATTGGAAAATTTCCACTGTTAGGAGAGGTCTTTTCTCTGCTAGATTTTAAGCATTTCAAGTTACAGGCTATTTTTCCTTTTGATTATTTATAACATTAACTTGAAAACAAATACAGGGACAGAATCCACTTAGACACCTTAAATTTAAGAAACCCTACAGAATATATAAAACAGACACAGGCCACAAAGGACAGTGATTCCCAAGAGAAGAGACACAAAATGAGTCCTTTGATCGACCAGTTTACTGCCTAGAGCCAGTTTCCAGGTTGTAACACAGGGAGAAGTAACCCAAGTGGACACCAGGGGTCTTCCTGAACTGAGGGGACAGAGTTGTGAGTTTGGGGAGGCTAAGGCAGCTAGGATCTGCAGGGGACAGTACTGGGGAGGAAAGAGCTGGCCAGAGAGGCTTTTGAGATCTGCAGAGGGTTCCCTTCAGGTCTTCAGCTGAACGTCAGTTTCATGCTTATTATGATAACAACTAAGGACAGGGAAAGAATCACCAGAAAGAAGCAGGCAGAACAACCCTTGGAAGTTCACACAGGGGCCGGGAATAGCTCGTGTTCTCACCAGCCCCAGGGAAAAACCTTGAGCCCTACTGGATATTGGTTGTAGTACTCAGGAAGGTGTTGTTTCAGTAGTGAGGTAACATGAACTCTAAAATAAAGGCTGCTCTGGTCCTACCAAATGAAACTTAAAAACAGGTCTGAAGGATCAAACTATTGCCAAGTAACTTAACTGCACCCAAGAATAAAACTCTAGACAATTTAAAGGAATAGAAGAATATACAGCACCTAACAGGGTAAATCAATCAAATGTTGGCAGGCATGCAAAGAAGCAGAAAATATGACCTAAAATGAAGGAAATAACAATAACTGGAAAAGATGCCAGATGATGCAGATGATAAA